TGAAGTCGACGCAAGTTCACCACTTGCGATTCGACTTCTTTACTAAGACCAAATTGGCGAGCCAGTCCAGGTACTTCACTTCCTGAATGAAGTTGATGTTCAGGAGCTTATCAACTTCATCCTTGAGTGTTCTAGATCCCTCAGCATCCATAGACCTTCTTTTATGTCTTATTGGGCGAGCCTCTGAATCAACGTTTAATTTATGGCATATCACCTTGGGGTTGATCCCCACCATATCTACACGTACCCAAGCAAACACGTTGAGGTTCTTCAGGAACCCATTTGGACTATTTGCCACCTCGTCGCTCAAGCTACTCCTAATTTTTAGAACGCAAGTTGGATCTTTCTCGTTGACAGGTACTTCTCACAGCTCTTCTATCAGCCATGTTGCAGATTCTTCTTTACGAATGCAAGGATCTATGGTATCCTCCAAAAGTCCAGGCTTTGGCTCGAACTCAACAATGATCATGGTCTTTGGGAGTGCCTATTTTTGTGCAACATGAATAGCCCAATTGTAGCACTCCTTTGAGTCTTTCTTGTAACTTATAATTGTTGCGATTCCGTCTGGAGTCGAGAATCTCATTGCCTGGCAACGCACCAAGGTGAATGTGCTCAAGTCATCCAAGAATGGCCTTCCCAAAATGACGTTATAGGTGGTCAAGTAATTGACCACTAAAAACTCTACCATCAATGTCCTTATCTGAGGCTTTTCCCCAAGAGTTATAGGCAGTTCGATTGTTCCCTTGGGGACTAAGCTATCCCCGGTGATCTCCGTACAATGGCGATAGACATGTCTTTAGATCTCGCTCGGTGAACCTCATTTCTCGAAAAGCTCCCACGAAAATGATATTCGTTGCACTGCCGTTACGACCATTACCCTGCATACTTGGGCATTACCGATCCTCATCGTGATTACAATTGCATCATGGTTGTGGCAAGGGGATTGGTCGCATTCTTTCTTGGTGAAACTTATCACCTTGCTTTCTAGTCTAGGCCGCTTTGGCGGCTTTTGCTCATAATTCATTACTCGGGGAACCGGGTCTGTCTTAGCCTCTCCCGTATATTGCTCGCTAGAATGCCTAGAGCTCCTTGCAATATCAGGTCCCCAATAGATCATACCCACCAACACATCATTGTTCAGTTGGGTTTGTTAGATTTGATTATTCTGATCGCTCAGATTTTCGCGAGCTGGCTCTTCCTTGACAAATTCTTTTAGGTAGCCTCTTCTAATCATGTCCTCAATGGCGTCTTTCAAAGCTCGACACACATTAGTATTGTGCCCAATGTCTCGGTGGTATCTACAGTATTTCTGGCAATCTCTTCTACTTGGTACCCCCCTCATTCTCTCTAGTGCGGGTAATTTTCTAACCTCATGAAAGACTTCATAGATGTGAGCTACATCTTGTGTTAGGGGGTATATTCTACATATTGTGAAAAAGTTTGTCTTTCCCCACGGGATTCTATTCTTTGCCTTTTTTGGAACCTATTTCGGTCCCTATCATTACGATCCTAGCCCCTCATTTTGTCTGTTGGATGATTTTGTCACCTGTCAGGGGCTTTTATAGGTGAGTTTCTGGCTAAGGCTGCCAGCGAGCTTTCTACTCACTAATGTTTGGCGGCCATTTGAACTTGGCCAAGCTCACATGATCTTCGCTCTGAAGCTCTTTCTACAGTTCTGTCTATGGCCTTATTCCTGCTATGAGCAAAGTAAGGATTGACTTCTCAGGAGCATCCGCGACCTTTGCCTATTCATTTTGGAACCTTGTTAAATATGAGGTCAGTGTTTCGTCTCTTTCCTGGCGAATATTAATCAAGTAGCTGAGTGGCATTACGAATTGTCTCCTCGCTTTGAATTGATGTAAGTACATCGAGGTGAATTGTTGCCAAGACAGTATTAAGTTCGCTTTGAGCTTATTGTACCACCTCTTGGCATCTCCTACGAAAGTGACTGTGAAACAGCGACACTTTGCCAAGTCAGAGACCTGATGTAGCTCCATCAGGTCGTTGAATAGATCAAGGTGGTCTTTGGGATCCCCTTTCCTATTGAACTTGTTCTCGGGCGTCTTGAATCCCTAGGGAAGTGGAGCCTGATGGACTTCCTCTATGAATGGAGAACTCACTATCTCTTCCGTCGAATTACCTTGGCGGGCTCTTAGATCGTTGAGCATTTTCTGCACCAGATATAAGTCCTCGTCACGAAGAGTCTTCTAACTGCGAGCCCTGTTTAGCCTTACCTTGAGCAGATGAGTTCGAAGGTCAGTTGCTTGCGAACCTACTCTATTAGGCACGCTAGTGCGTGAGGTGGAGTCATAATGGCTAGGGTGGTAGGTGATATCATGCTCTTTGGTACGTTGTTCACAATTGGTTAAAACCAAAACATTGGTTGTTGCCAAATTAGCGTGCAGGGCTAATCTCGCAAGCTTGCGAGGTTTGAGCTCACCTTTGGCATGGGTTAAAACTGACACACTGGTGTTGGGTATGTTGTCGATTAGGACGACCATCTATCAGGCAACCATTGCCTTCATTCTCCCCCATGGGCTGCTTGCTCGATCGCCTCCCGAGGTTAGTTTGCCCGCGGGACTCATGCTCTTGAGTGGAGGGCGGCCTACGATGTCGAGGGTTATGGTCATTCCTTGGTGCCGATGAACTAGATTGGTCGCCAGCAGAGTTATTCCTACCTGTGGGGGTAATCTCTATGAAGCATGGCTAATCGAGGTTCCAATAGGCCTACTACTCATTTCTTATCTCAGCCACGTTTTGTTGCACCGCCTATGCAACCATCGTCCTTATCATCTCCATCAACTAGCCGTTCTCAAGATTTGAAGTCCCTACCCCATACTGGTTTGCAACTTGTTGCGCTGACGGCATTATCGATTGACGTGCAGTAGCGCCCTGATGCACCTCCTGGTAGGCAACTTCCACATTTGTCGTGGTTTCCGGTAATCATTTTGGATCTTGTATGAACCATTGTGAATCATTGATGATCGATTGTCAATAAAATTGTTTGTTTCTTGCCGAAATTGAGTAAAGTAGGCAGCGACCCTTCTTCTAGTGCCAAAATGTTGATGCAAGATTTACACCAACTAGAGTGATCCGATTGACCTTGGTGGAATTAGAACAGATGTGTGCATGATTAAAAATAACCAGCGAATGTGTATAAAAAATGCATGAATGTTAAGAACACAATCAAATTTTAAAGTGGTTTGGCAAGTTGGAACTTAAGCCTACATTCACTGTTTTTATTAGTGCTTTAGAGAGCTTACAAGAAAATAGTAATATGCCTAAAACAATTTACTAACCCCTCTCCCATCGTTGGAATGGGTTTATATACAAGTTTGTAAACAATGAAAAAGAGAAATTATCGGGATTGCAATCACGTTCGAATTGCAATTCTGATATTCTTGTGATTGTGCGCTAAAATTGTGCCATTACTGTTGTTGATCTGATCTCCTTCGAAATATCCGGGATTTGATCATATCTGTGATCTGTCGAACAATTGCCAAAGTTAGTCGTGACTGACTTATGTTGAGTCAAGTTATATCTCAATGAGCTTATGTTGGGTCAGACAAGTGTTGAGCCAAACTGATTCTGGGTCGAACTATAATCTCGTGGAACTCTGACTTTTCCGAGCTTAATGGAAAAATCACACACAATGTTTTCTTATTTTTTACAATATACTTCAATATAGTCGTTCTTCATCTAAATTGAACGACTCGTAAGTATAAAATGTATAAGCTTTTGTTATGAAACTCTTCGTGACTCGTAATCTTGGCTTTTTCTGATTCTAATAAAGCGAGTAATGCAGGGAAAAGTTTAAAATGCAATCTGCTTCAATATGGTCGGTTTGCATCGTTATCAAATCTCGTGTAACGGATATAAGCTTTTATAACAAGCTTCTGTGACACGTAATCATGGACTGTGTGATTTTGATGGTCCTAAAAATGGAGAAACAAGGTTAAGAGGCAATATAATTATATATGGTCGTTTTTATCTAAATTGAACGACTCATATAAAACATATAATTTTTTCTTTTCAAAACAAATAATAAAAACTGAGAAGGGGTTTGTTTGAATTTTGTAGAGTTTGGGTTTTTGGATAAGACTAAGGTTTAGTGTTTGTATAATGTTATATATATTCTAGGTGCAATGAGATTGGTACCTTTTTACTATTAAGATTAACGTTTTTATTTGAAAAATAGGTGAAACATTGGTAACTTGATTTCCCAAACTAAGGGTATCAAATTGATTCTTTTTTTTCTTTTTTTTTTGGGTGTGTGTGAAAGATAGGGTATTATCAAGTTTCTTCTTGGTTAGACTTTTAGCTAAAGAATTTTAGGTAGATAGTTCCCTTTTTTTTTTTTTTTTTTTTTTTTGCCCCCGCGGGGGGTGGGAGGGACGGGGTTGGGGTGGGGGGTGTGTTGTGGGTGTTATTTCATCTTGTGAATGCTTAAATACTTTTGTAAGACTATTTGAAATTATCAAAATAAATTTTAGGTAATGCTTTAATTAATTAAAATTATGTTTCCCCTTAGAGATTTATTTCATTAATTAAATATTATACATTTAGTATTTGTTTTAGGAAAGTAGTATTATTTGAGGTTTTTTCCTCTTCTTTATAAGAAACTATGACCAATGACTATCCGTATTTAACTTTGCCTTACGGAAGTAGGATTTGCTTTTTCTTTTTCCTTTTTTTGATATCTTCGTTAATTAAACAAATTAATTTGGTATAAATATGAGTGTTTTTTATTCCCATGTATACTGACTTCCATCAGCTGCAATCCAGCTATAACAATGTAAGCCCTCTCTCTCTGTCTCTCCATAAGCTTTTCGTCTTCTGTTTTCTGCTTCATAGTAATTGTAGATTATATACTTGATGTCTTCAAAGTTTAATGTAGAAATTTTTTTCATCTATGTATTTAGATTGTCAAAATTTTAATATAATTATTCTCTTATAGGAATAATCATAGATGCACTGTATATGATTTGTCAAAGTACCAAATGGATTCTTATGAGGTGAGTCGCTATCTAATTTTTTAATTGACAAAAAATCTATATATCCTCTTGTACGTGCTAATATTTTGTGAAGTAATTATCTAACTATTTGGTTGTAGAAATTAAGTTATGTATCCATAACACCCCATGCAGAATTCTTAAGGAATTTTGTCGCAAATACTATATGCCATAGTTGCAAAACATCTCAGGTATAAATATATTTATAATCAAATTATTATTGTAAATTATAATTTTCTAATTTTGATATTAACTCAATATTGTTGATTTTGTGTACAGCGTAAAAGATGTATCAACATGGCTGATGATCACAATTTATGTTCAGAGTGCTATAAGACTGCAGTTTTTTCCATTGAAAGATTACCATATATTGTGCACAACTTGCGTAAATTTTACAGACAATTTAATCTTAAAGTCGATAAAAATATTCCCATTTTTTTGACTGATAAAGTTGAGATGAGAAAGGTATCAAAAGTAAGAATTATATTACACTTTTTTTCTATTTCAATTAACTTAAAATTTATTAATTTTCAATATTCTTTTAACTTATTGTAATACTTTCCGAAGGAGTTTGACGATAAGACCACTCATAGTATGACCGTGTATGCGAAGAAAAGCACTACACTTGTGGTAATCATTTTTATTATATTTGTTTTATATTTAGGATTTTTTTTTTTTTTTTTAATTTGGTTTTTAAAAATATAGATTAAAAACTGTTTATGGCAAGGAGAAAAGATGGAAGCAGTTAAAGAACCTAAAAAGCTGTCCAAGATTTCAATTTTACTTCGCTTTGGATATCCTGAGTAATTTTCCTTCAACTTCACATATATTTTATTTTTAAAACATTTTTGTTTTATAACCAAAACATTTGAATCCAAAACACAGTGTTATAACAGGAGCAAGATTGGCACATGAGATGATGAATGTATGGTTGGGAAATAAAGGTAAACTTTTATTATTATTATTATTTCAAATTTAATTTGATTGAGCTTTTAAATAACTAAGCAAATCATATATTTTTGTAACAGGTTGCATGGATATACAGCAAAATATTAAAGAAGGAATTTGTAAGGTGATGGCTTACAAATGGTTGGATTGGTATTTCTGCAATTATGTTGATTCCTCGAGTGATAATGGCCGATTAGGTCTAAGGTATATTCAAATCTACAAACCTGAAATCGAATCAAACCGTGCGTTCAGAGGGGCTAAAATGGCAGTTGATAAGTATGGGTTAAAACATACGTTGAAGCATATCGTGAACACTAGAAATCTTCCTGATGTGAATCAAGCCACTGCACTTGTTAAAATTATGAATGAACCAAATGAGATTAACACTGTTCTTTTAGCCCAAGAAGAGATGGTGGAACAAAGGGTAATTGATGGATCGGCCCAAAAAGTTTGTTTGCTCAAGATGAAGTCAAGAAGCCTAATTATAACCCAAACCGTCACAATTCCCCACTTGATGACTTTTTAAATCTAAACCCAACATTTGGTTATAATTTGATTTGGTGATTGAGAAAGAAATTAAAGAGGGAAAACCAATATAGAATGTTCATGGTGTGTTATTGTGAAGTTTGACGATTGAATGGTATTATCTCACTCTAAATTGGTGCAAACAGATCACTTCCAAACTAGTTGAATTTTTATTTTATTTTTTTTGTAAGTTTTAGCCGTTATTTTCCATATACAGTAACATTATATTTTCTTTTTGTGTTATTTTTATTTAATTTCTTCTAGACTTCAAGAAAAATGGGTCTCATTTTCTCTTGAAAGTAACCAAAAAGTGGATCTTTATTTGTAGTTTTTTTCTTATTTCTTTCCTAAAGAACACACGAATAATCACGCAGCCAATTAATATTTATTTCGATTTCTTTAAGGATTATTATCAGATACCTCCCTTGACCACATGAATCCCTTTACATTTCAACTTACATCAATGACCTGAGTATGTGGTTTCTATGGACACCATGAGGTTTAGTGAAAGAAAATTAGTAGATCCATAGGTTTCACTTTTCAGAATAATATTTCACCCTCATAATTGATAGACATTTTGTGAAAAATTAGTTCGGACATAAAATCTTGGCACATTTACAAAAACATTTAGTTAGTTTCTGTAATTAACAGAAGGTGTTAAACATAAAAAAAAAAATAAAAGATCTGAACTTTCTTCCAATCAACATGTAACAAAAGTGACCAAGAGAAAAGAGAAAGAATAAAACCTTGATATCATGAATGAAACTGGCCAGACCTTGCATTGAGATTCAACTCTCCACTTATCTGCTTTCTATAAGATAACATATATTAATTCTTTTAAACTTGAAATTTCAGCACAAACCAGTTTGAATTACCTTCACTTTTGACAAAATGCTTATAAGATTTCTGCAATGAATCTTCAACAAAGAGCCAATTTAATTCTGAGTAATAAAAGTGGTCGTATTAGCAATTAACTCCAAATCAGTTCAGTAATTACAATTCAAAACCTAATTTCATCGTTGATGGAAACTTTAATGACTTATAAGATCTAATTCATATCTGACCCAACAACATTGTAAATCCAATCACGCGCCACTGACATAGCCATAACGGCTGTGGCCAATGCCACACACTGGACAGTAGTAGGAACTGTAGAGATAGCGACCTCTACCACAAGAGCAAAGCGGCGGTGCTGTAGGCTCCATTGACAGGGGAGAAATCATTGGCTGTGGCTGTCCCCGTATCCTCTGATATTTCCTCATCTGCTTGCTCTCCGTCACCATCAGCCACAACATCGTCGATAGAAGTCAATATCCAGCCACAACATTTAAGAATTAGAGTTATTAGTGCAGATAAGATCTTTATTTTTAAATGCCAGAGTATTCCAAGAGCAAAAAGTATTGCAAAAAATTCAAGGAGGCCGTATTTCTTCAAATTTTCACTCACGAATCCACAGGCTGAATCGGATGTGGATTTTTTGATTGGTCCTTTCTGGACTTGTGGAAGTGGAGGTGGAGGTGGAGGTGGAGTACCACCACAGACCATTTCGAAGACGCAGTCATCGGTGTTGGTGGTAGCAGTAGCAGCAGCCGCGGCAACCAGAGCTACAAACATAAGAGTCTTACCGCCAATTACAAATATCTTAAGACTTGGTATTTTTGAATTTCAAATTTAAAAAAAAATAATAATGCTTTGAATAATGGAGACAAACCCAAATATCGCCAAGCAAATGTTTAATAGGAGTTAATAACAATTTCATCCCTGAGGTAGTGAGGTAGTGAGGTTTGGAGAAAATCATTTTAGTCCAGTCAAATCTGAAAAGACCATTAAAGTCCTTGTTAGTGTCAGACTACTACAACTAGGAAATGTCTATCAGTCTATGACTCTATTATAGCATATTTGTGTTATTAGGAAGAATAAATATAGAATAAAAGATTAGGACTAAAATTACAGTGAAATAAAAAATGAATAAAACTTATAAACAATTAAAAGATTTAAATAAAATTCCCTACCTCCAAAAATCCTTATATCATATTTTATCTTTTTATAATTCTATTGTCCTTTATTGCTTTTCTTTTTCTATCAAATTTTATTTTATAATTTTATAAACTAAAATGTTTCTTTTTTTATTTTCATTTTATTATTCTTAAATAGTGCAAAATAAAAATTATACCCTAGTACCGTTTAATTTTCTCATATCCCTAATAATATTTAATTTTCTCTAACTGCTATAGGGACTATAATGAAAATTTTACTGGGCCAAAGAGATACTTTTCCAAACCTCAGGGATGAAATTATCATCAACTCTATTATAGAGTTCCAGGTTTGTTTCATTACATTTACAGTGCTTGGGTTCGTGTTCGAAGTTTGCACTTGTACATACTACATAGTAATAAGCTCCTAATTTTGTTTCAAATTTTGTTCATTGACAAAGACGTATTATCACTTAAATACGTTCTTAGCACGTGACTAGTTACAAATATGTAAAACTAATTACGGTACTCTTATAAAATTTAACAAAATGTTGCTAATTTTTATTAATGAAATTTAAATTATTGCATATTTTATGATTTTAACAAACAAAAGAAACTAACTTTGATAAATAATTAAATTTTTTAATTTTAATTTGAACAATTAAACATTGATAAAAGAGGATAAAATGTCATTTAAGATGAGAAAATTGTCATTTAACCATTTAAAACAAGAGTTGTCACTTATACAAACTCTCTACTTTAAATAGAATGACTGCAACCCAGGTTCCTTGTCCTTAGGGGCCGTTTGATTGTATTACTAAACATATAGGATTACTAATGAGATAGATTAACATAAAGATTAAAGAGATTGTTTTATACTATATGTTTGATTAGACTTGTAGGTATAAATAATTAGTATGTTTGGTTAAGAGGAATAAAAGAATTATGGGAGACCATTTTACTAAATGATAGTTTTTTTTAAATATTATTTTATTGTTTAGATTGTTACTATTAAACCGCTAACATTTGAGAATTTGGCTAAAACACCCCAACCACAATAGAAGTTTAAAATATAACAAAATACCCCCAGTCCCCAAGCAACTGTCTATTGAGTGTTGGAAATGCAGATTTATTTAGTGATTTGGGGCTGAAACTGTAAGAAATTTAAGGTTCAATGCATCACTTATGATGTGATTTCTTGCATGTTTAGTTATCTTTCGGAATCATGGGTGTTGTATGTGTTTTCATGTATTCAGGTGCAAAAGAATGGATTATTCGTGCTTGTGCTGGTGTTCAAACATCCTGGACCCATCGAGTGGGAATAAATCAAGGCGAGAAGAAAAAGAGTGAAATTCCGACTTCATGCCGTAACACCCGATTTTTTGAGCCGCGGCGAGAAAATGGCGCAATCCAAACTACGCCTCAGCAAAGAAATATAGTGTCGCAGCACAATGTCGATGAAATCCAAACTATGCTGTGGCGCAATTCAATTGGGTTGCGGTGTGGTACGGTTTTTGTCGAAGAAGAAATTGCCAAGAAACACGCCGAGGCACAATTCAACTGTGTCGGGGCATAAATCACACAGAATGCAAAAATACTGCGTTTCCAAACCTAATTTTACTTACCAGTATTTACTAAACTACCACTCAGTGTAAAAACTATATAAAGGGTAGTTTATTTCATTTTAGGTTTAATTTTAGATACAGATTTTGGAGAGAATACATTTGGGGCTTCTTGGAAAGGTAGAGCTTGGAGATGAGAGGAGGTTTTCTTCCTCTCCTTCTCCTTTGTTGTTTAGATTATGGTTCCAAGTGTTATTGTTTCTTTTCCTTTATGTTGTAGTTTGTTTTCTAGGGATTTGATGTAATCTAATTGAAGGCTTGTGTTTTATTGTTATTCTATTTGTTTGATCCATTCTATTATGTTCTAGATTCATTCATTGCCATTAATTCAATCTTTAGTTGATATTAGGGTCTGATCAACCTTGATGTTAATTAATTGATTGTATGAGACAAGATTGTGTATGGAATGACTGATTTGTGGCCCTATCCGGGTATAGATTGGTTATTGTCTTTAAGATCGTCTTGCGCTTAATGGGTTTTCATTACTAGACTAGGCTATACGCCACCAGCTAGTTTAGGTGATGAAAACTCTAGGTTATTCCGAATGGCCATAGTAAAACCTTAGAAATGAGAGACATTGTGCCTATATTGATTAGCTCTATGAATGGATGATTAGTGTCTATGCGAATTAGTTCCTTCGTTATTTAGACTAGGCTATACGCCACTAGTTAGTTTAGAGGATGAAAGTACTAGGTTGAACCTGATGATGTACGAACCCTAGAATAGAGTAGAGAGAACAATATTTGATGAAGAACACGTAGCCTGATGACTATGATGGAGTTAAAGCCCTAGGATCCTTTGTAGATAGTTAGACTTAGATTTACTTTAATGTTGTTTACATGTTTTTCTTTATTTCATTCTCATTTTAATTCATGAAGGCATAGAGACTAGGATTGCGAGAGCACCTCTAGTCTCTGTGGGATCGACCTTTACTCGTGCATTATGCTGCGATTGCGACTTGTGCACTTGCGAAGGATTAAACTTTATATCTATCACAATCAGCGGTGGCTACCACCGTCGGTTACTTCCGACAGTTGCCAAAATGGCGTACGACCAGCTAGATCTAATCGGTCGTACGTCGATCTAGCCAGAAACGACCATATCACCATGGATCTGGCTAGAAACGGCTAGATCTATCTATGGCCGTTAACAGCCTTCGATTTGGCTGAAAACGGCCAGATCGACGCACAACCGACTAGATCTGCCCGGACGTGCACCATTTCTATGACTATCAACGGTGGCCACTAATGGTGGTCGGCAGCCAACAGTCGTCTTGGGTGGTTTGGGGTATTTTATTAAATTTTAAACTTTTATTATGGCTAGAGTGTTTTAGCAAATTCTCAAATATAGGGGGTCACAGAGCATTTTGCACAGTTAACTAATTGTTATTTGATAGACATATGAGAGCATTTGTGTTTTAAATGTTAATTAATTAAGGGTAAAATGAAAACAAAAATTGGATTACCTCGTTAATCTCAAAATAACATGCTTTCACTCGGTAATCGGATTACCCCCAATAGGGTCATTTGGATAGGGGGTAAATAAAATAACAGGGGTAATCTTCGTTTATTTTGAATGATTCTCGTGCTTGGTTTGCAAGTAATAAAATATTACGGTAATCTTTTATTGCAAATAGTGTTTACTATTAGTAATGTGAGGGGTAATCTTATTATCTTATTAGAGGATATTATTAAAACATTAC